GAGACTTTTATCCGGGACTTCTTGATTTTGTAACTTCTTGCTTCCCTGGAACTCTTTTTGGAATAGAAAGCCGAACAACTGTTGGAAGGGTATATACTGTTTGAAAGTAAATCTCGGGCTCTATTTCCGGCAGCGGATGAATTACAGACTTAATTGAAAAAAGAAGCTTTCAATCCCAGAAAAGAAAAAGAATGTTAAGCAGCACTTCCGACAAACCCACTGCTTTTGAACCCTAGATCGGCCTAAGTTTAGCTCGGATGAGTCGAAGTATGAGGGAAGCATGAGATAGTGTAGTGTTGGTCAGCGCATAATTACCCGCTGTCTCCAATAGCTTTCCTCACGAAAAAGTAGTGCTCAAGGTGGGCCCACGCTGCTATGCGTTCACACCGTCCTTTAATGATGTGAAATGAGGAGTCCAAGTGATCAATAATTTCAGTGCATTTGAGTCTCTGGTACGGGAGAGGACGTATTAGTTCCCAAGATATCTGCGGACGCAAAATGTTTGGAGGTATGGGGAATTGAACCCCAGCCCTCTCCCATGCTAAGGGAGCGCTCTACCACTGAGCTATACCCCCACGCTGCTATGCGTTCACACCGTCTTTAATGATGTGAAATGAGGAGTCCAAGTGATCAATAATTTCAGTGCATTTGAGTCTCTGGTACGGGAGAGGACGTATTAGTTCCCAAGATATCTGCGGACGCAAAATGTCTGGAGGTATGGGGAATTGAACCCCAGCCCTCTCCCATGCTAAGGGAGCGCTCTACCACTGAGCTATACCCCCACGCTGCTATGCGTTCACACCGTCTTTAATGATGTGAAATGAGGAGTCCAAGTGATCAATAATTTCAGTGCATTTGAGTCTCTGGTACGGGAGAGGACGTATTAGTTCCCAAGATATCTGCGGACGCAAAATGTCTGGAGGTATGGGGAATTGAACCCCAGCCCTCTCCCATGCTAAGGGAGCGCTCTACCACTGAGCTATACCCCCACGCTGCTATGCGTTCACACCGTCTTTAATGATGTGAAATGAGGAGTCCAAGGGATCAATAATTTCAGTGCATTTGAGTCTCTGGTACGGGAGAGGACGTATTAGTTCCCAAGATATCTGCGGACGCAAAATGTCTGGAGGTATGGGGAATTGAACCCCAGCCCTCTCCCATGCTAAGGGAGCGCTCTACCACTGAGCTATACCCCCACGCTGCTATGCGTTCACACCGTCTTTAATGATGTGAAATGAGGAGTCCAAGGGATCAATAATTTCAGTGCATTTGAGTCTCTGGTACGGGAGAGGACGTATTAGTTCCCAAGATATCTGCGGACGCAAAATGTCTGGAGGTATGGGGAATTGAACCCCAGCCCTCTCCCATGCTAAGGGAGCGCTCTACCACTGAGCTATACCCCCACGCTGCTATGCGTTCACACCGTCTTTAATGATGTGAAATGAGGAGTCCAAGTGATCAATAATTTCAGTGCATTTGAGTCTCTGGTACGGGAGAGGACGTATTAGTTCCCAAGATATCTGCGGACGCAAAATGTCTGGAGGTATGGGGAATTGAACCCCAGCCCTCTCCCATGCTAAGGGAGCGCTCTACACTGAGGCCTATAGACGCCCACCTGCTAATGCGTTCACACCGTCTTTAATGATGTGAAATGAGGAGTCCAAGTGATCAATAATTTCAGTGCATTTGAGTCTCTGGTACGGGAGAGGACGTATTAGTTCCCAAGATATCTGCGGACGCAAAATGTCTGGAGGTATGGGGAATTGAACCCCAGCCCTCTCCCATGCTAAGGGAGCGCTCTACCACTGAGCTATACCCCCACGCTGCTATGCGTTCACACCGTCTACTTTCTATTTAAGATGTGAAATGAGGAAGTCCATGTTCAATAATTTCAAGTGCATTTGAGTCTCTGGTACGGGGAGAGGACGTATTAGTTCCCAAGATATCTGCGGACGCAAAATGTCTGGAGGTATGGGGAATTGAACCCCAGCCCTCTCCCATGCTAAGGGAGCGCTCTACCACTGAGCTATACCCCCACGCTGCTATGCGTTCACACCGTCTTTAATGATGTGAAATGAGGAGTCCAAGGGATCAATAATTTCAGTGCATTTGAGTCTCTGGTACGGGAGAGGACGTATTAGTTCCCAAGATATCTGCGGACGCAAAATGTCTGGAGGTATGGGGAATTGAACCCCAGCCCTCTCCCATGCTAAGGGAGCGCTCTACCACTGAGCTATACCCCCACGCTGCTTATCCAAAGTGATCAATAATTTCAGTGCATTTGAGTCTCTGGTACGGGAGAGGACGTATTAGTTCCCAAGATATCTGCGGACGCAAAATGTCTGGAGGTATGGGGAATTGAACCCCAGCCCTCTCCCATGCTAAGGGAGCGCTCTACCACTGAGCTATACCCCCACGCTGCTATGCGTTCACACCGTCTTTAATGATGTGAAATGAGGAGTCCAAGGGATCAATAATTTCAGTGCATTTGAGTCTCTGGTACGGGAGAGGACGTATTAGTTCCCAAGATATCTGCGGACGCAAAATGTCTGGAGGTATGGGGAATTGAACCCCAGCCCTCTCCCATGCTAAGGGAGCGCTCTACCACTGAGCTATACCCCCACGCTGCTATGCGTTCACACCGTCTTTAATGATGTGAAATGAGGAGTCCAAGGGATCAATAATTTCAGTGCATTTGAGTCTCTGGTACGGGAGAGGACGTATTAGTTCCCAAGATATCTGCGGACGCAAAATGTCTGGAGGTATGGGGAATTGAACCCCAGCCCTCTCCCATGCTAAGGGAGCGCTCTACCACTGAGCTATACCCCCACGCTGCTATGCGTTCACACCGTCTTTAATGATGTGAAATGAGGAGTCCAAGTGGATCAATAATTTCAGTGCATTTGAGTCTCTGGTACGGGAGAGGACGTATTAGTTCCCAAGATATCTGCGGACGCAAAATGTCTGGAGGTATGGGGAATTGAACCCCAGCCCTCTCCCATGCTAAGGGAGCGCTCTACCACTGAGCTATACCCCCACGCTGCTATGCGTTCACACCGTCTTTAATGATGTGAAATGAGGAGTCCAAGTGATCAATAATTTCAGTGCATTTGAGTCTCTGGTACGGGAGAGACGTATTAGTTCCCAAGATATCTGCGGACGCAAAATGTCTGGAGGTATGGGGAATTGAACCCCAGCCCTCTCCCATGCTAAGGGAGCGCTCTACCACTGAGCTATACCCCCACGCTGCTATGCGTTCACACCGTCTTTAATGATGTGAAATGAGGAGTCCAAGGGATCAATAATTTCAGTGCATTTGAGTCTCTGGTACGGGAGAGGACGTATTAGTTCCCAAGATATCTGCGGACGCAAAATGTCTGGAGGTATGGGGAATTGAACCCCAGCCCTCTCCCATGCTAAGGGAGCGCTCTACCACTGAGCTATACCCCCACGCTGCTATGCGTTCACACCGTCTTTAATGATGTGAAATGAGGAGTCCAAGGATCAATAATTTCAGTGCATTTGAGTCTCTGGTACGGGAGAGGACGTATTAGTTCCCAAGATATCTGCGGACGCAAAATGTCTGGAGGTATGGGGAATTGAACCCCAGCCCTCTCCCATGCTAAGGGAGCGCTCTACCACTGAGCTATACCCCCACGCTGCTATGCGTTCACACCGTCTTTAATGATGTGAAATGAGGAGTCCAAGGGATCAATAATTTCAGTGCATTTGAGTCTCTGGTACGGGAGAGGACGTATTAGTTCCCAAGATATCTGCGGACGCAAAATGTCTGGAGGTATGGGGAATTGAACCCCAGCCCTCTCCCATGCTAAGGGAGCGCTCTACCACTGAGCTATACCCCCACGCTGCTATGCGTTCACACCGTCTTTAATGATGTGAAATGAGGAGTCCAAGGGATCAATAATTTCAGTGCATTTGAGTCTCTGGTACGGGAGAGGACGTATTAGTTCCCAAGATATCTGCGGACGCAAAATGTCTGGAGGTATGGGGAATTGAACCCCAGCCCTCTCCCATGCTAAGGGAGCGCTCTACCACTGAGCTATACCCCCACGCTGCTATGCGTTCACACCGTCTTTAATGATGTGAAATGAGGAGTCCAAGGGATCAATAATTTCAGTGCATTTGAGTCTCTGGTACGGGAGAGGACGTATTAGTTCCCAAGATATCTGCGGACGCAAAATGTCTGGAGGTATGGGGAATTGAACCCCAGCCCTCTCCCATGCTAAGGGAGCGCTCTACCACTGAGCTATACCCCCACGCTGCTATGCGTTCACACCGTCTTTAATGATGTGAAATGAGGAGTCCAAGGGATCAATAATTTCAGTGCATTTGAGTCTCTGGTACGGGAGAGGACGTATTAGTTCCCAAGATATCTGCGGACGCAAAATGTCTGGAGGTATGGGGAATTGAACCCCAGCCCTCTCCCATGCTAAGGGAGCGCTCTACCACTGAGCTATACCCCCACGCTGCTATGCGTTCACACCGTCTTTAATGATGTGAAATGAGGAGTCCAAGTGATCAATAATTTCAGTGCATTTGAGTCTCTGGTACGGGAGAGGACGTATTAGTTCCCAAGATATCTGCGGACGCAAAATGTCTGGAGGTATGGGGAATTGAACCCCAGCCCTCTCCCATGCTAAGGGAGCGCTCTACCACTGAGCTATACCCCCACGCTGCTATGCGTTCACACCGTCTTTAATGATGTGAAATGAGGAGTCCAAGTGATCAATAATTTCAGTGAATGAGGAGTCCAAGTGGATCAATAATTTCAGTGCATTTGAGTCTCTGGTACGGGAGAGGAGTCCAAGTGATCAGTGGTTTCAGCGCTCTTGAACTCCACGGCCACAGATTCATTTATTGAAAGTTCATTATCGTTCACTCAATCTCGGGAAGACTTTCTTTTACAAAAATATGAGTGCCATGAATGGCAACATATGCTGTCGAATTGTAATTGGAATTACTGACAAAATTTCGGGCGATTAGTGAGTGTATGGTGTCAGGACGGTTAGTACCAGCGCAAAATGTTGAAACGAGCAAACGAGTGATGCAGTTGATTGAGTGATGAATACCTAAAAGTAAAAAGATATCCGATATTCAAAAGCTGTGCTCATCGTTATGAAACTCACGTAAATAGAAGATAGATGAAGCATTGAATTGACTGGGGGTAAAGAGCGCTGCGTTTGTAGCGTTATGCGGCGACCCCAACCCTTTTCTTTACCCCGCTCGTGCTTTTCTTTCGACTCTCCGAGCCCTTTGTTTTCTTCGTGGCAGCTTTCTTTCCTTTTGTATTTTTGTCCGTGTCGTCACTGTCCTCGGACCCAGTGTTTCTGTTGTCGGACGAAGTCTCATCCTGGAAGCGCGGGTCACTCATTTATAATTGTTTCCATTGTCACAAGACATCAGAGCTCTTACATCTGATATTGGACCTTCCCTGTTCGCTCTGCCTACCCAGTCCAGTTTCTTTTCCATGTCGATACGGTTTTCCTTTGCTATGGACTTCAGCGAATGTGTCATATAACTGAACACTAAGGTTGGCCCCTCAAACACACAAATGACCATTTTTCTTCTACGGGCTCGGAGGCGACGTCAATATCCGCGCGCATGACTTGCGACGTCATAGGTCAGAACATCTATCCGCGCCATGGAGGCTCAACAGGGGTCGTATCTGGTGCTGTGGAGGGAGAAGAAAGCTCACTTGTCATACATTCCGCACTTTGTCTGGTCTGATAGCTTCCGTTGAAATGCAGTGGTTTAGGAACTTAGGGGGGTAAAATGATATGGAATTATCAGAGTAACGTTACTGAACATCTTTAATTTCCCCACGATGAAATTGACCGCTTGCGGGTCGATGATCATCTGACCTCTGAAAGGGTGGCATGACTCCCGGTCGAGGCTCTCCCTCAACCTGACTGCAAGATTTCATGAAAGTTTGGAGATGGTCGGTCGGTTGCAAAAAAGGTTCGCATTGCAAAAGGAAGCTTGGTGAGCAGGAGGGGGGGGCTGTTGCATTCATATTTATCAAAAATTCTCCCAGTGCTAGGAGACGGATCCTGTTTCCTGGATGCTCATGGTGGCACGTGGAGAAGATGAGTCAGCGTGACTGGTATGTGACAAGACAATCGTAATATGCGGCGCTGCTGGGCGTGGAGAGCGGCGCGGACGTGCTGACGAGTCTTTCGTAGCTGTTCTCTGAAGCCCAGCGTTAAAGGGATGGAAACAGAACCACATCAACTCGCCACGTTTACTGTCCCGCCTGATTCCATTTGGGTTTCTCTGCTTCAAACTGGCTCACATCGAGGATTTGCCCTACATTGCCTCCAAATAGCCTCCCACGACAAATTACGATTGTGTTGTCCCTCTGCTCAGGCGTGACCTACTTGCTGACCCATCACTCCAATTTTTGTGATGTATCTTGTAAAAATGGAACGTCCACTAACATGTAGTCGGGTTCTTCAGCAAAAGACATTCCATTAACATACTCCACAAGTCGCTTGAATTCGTTAGGAACTATCTGGTAGCACCTCGGAACTAGAAATTTTCACTTTAAGCAATCGTTTTTTCAGAGGTCTACCTATTTTGCAAATGATCATTATCGCGTACTGAACAAACTCGTAATCAACAACTCTCTTGGTCGTTAGTAGGGAACCATTTATGCGCTTGGACACATCCGATGTTCGCTGCGGCTATGTAGGGTCCGTATCAGTGGAGACTTGGTTTTGGCGCCTCCGGGGTCAGCCCTTTTTCCACCAGTCCTTAGTCGCTTGTCCTCTTCAAACTGGAGGGAACAGCTCGGCAGCTCCCTGGCATGCCGCAACATCCGCGGCCAACATTCTATAACTAGATGCAACAACACCCCAGAATCGTGAAATGAAGTGAGCATCACAAATCTTTCAACCTTCTGACTAGACGTGTCGATCACCGCTCCCTTTCGCTGCTGGCGTGGATGTGGAGGCTTCACCAGTCTGAAAGCTGACGTAGTAGGGGCTTCTAGCGCCCTTTACCATACTTGATTCTTGACCCGGATGCCAATTTTCTGCTCCTCGGATAATGGGGAAATCGAGTAGTGAGGCCGATGTACGATCTATAGTCTGCCACCAGGCCAGCTATTTGTGTTATGGACTTCTGCAGGCACAGGGCACTACACGTCCCGAGGAAAGCTGTTAATTGCATGGTGCTGTGCGGAAGGAGGAGACTCTCGTAAAGCATCTGAGCAGGACGTAGCATACCCAACATACTCCCATCAACAACTAGACACCCTCAAATGGCGCACCGATCAGCATCCAATATTCAGATAGGTTTCATAGGACATCGGGTCCTACTCCCACTGCCAACGACTCTTTTCTTGTCCCTTTCTCATGTAGCTATCAATATGAGTCTTATCCCCACAAGGTAAAGGGCGCTGAGATATGGGTCAGAGCAACCTTTTTCCCAACGTGCTTACGGCTGATCAGGTGGCAATCAGTGGTGATTACGTGCGTCTCTGGGGCGCTTCATTCTGAATTCGATGTTCTTTCACACGCGCGCTCCTTCTGCCAGGAGTAATGGACCCAAAGTAGACTTACCTATCAACAAGGATTTATGTTTCTAACGGGCTGCCGTAATTGGAATCTGCCAAGAATTTCTCTTTATAGACGACGGACTTGGCACTGCGATCGGGCTCTTCGTTCCACGGTCAGGTCCGCACTCGTCGGGGTCGTCACAATCGAACCTTAGTGGGATGTAATTAGTTGCTTCTTAGAGATTTCTTGTGTATGGTGAATTGTAGCAAGGAGTCTCTCCATCGAATCTTACATTCTATAAACCTACTAATTCTGTTCAGAAACTGATGTGTCGGGATTCTCGTGCGTAGTGTATTGGTTACGGTATGTATGTATGTATGTATGTCTGTCCGTCCGCAAAATGCTTCACGGGTTCAAACACGTCAGTGTAGGAGAGTGTACGACCGCTAGCCGGTGGCGAAACCAGTTGGTGCAGATGTATCAATCCAATGTTTTGATTGTGATAACACCCTGCACTATATAAGAGAACATGTAGTGCACTCCAAACCATTGCACGAGCTGCTCGCGTGGCAGCGTGACGCCTGACACGTGCAGCGGCCGGGATTGGGGAGTGGGGTGGGCAAGTGGCGGAGTGGGTGAGGGGTATAAATGTGGCGTGGGGGATTAGTGAGGGAGAAAGTACCGGGGAGGGGAAGCCATAGAGTGCGATTAGTTAGAAACTCATCACTGAGGTGTGATTAATAATAAAGCGCCATCGATAGCAGCAGATATAGGTGATATAGAAGGAAGGATCAACCAGAGTCGCGAATAAAATCCATGTTTTTAGTATCATCTATTGACTGGCAATTGAGGATTGTTTACAATCGTCACTATATAAACGAACAATGTAGTTGCATCGTCAAATGACATATTGGTCGAATTATTGACTATCTGTATAAAAGAAAAGCCGGTGAGGAGAAGGATAAGTGCAACGGAGCCGGGCCCGCTCAGCAAATCCATTCTTTACCTCAGAAGAAGGCGTGCAGGCATCAGCCGGCAAAGCCGGCTGGTCGATTTCATAAACCAGTCGGATCGTCGGTCCAGGCTGTCGCCGGGCGCTCCTCCTTCTGTGATATGGCTCAGCTTCGCCGGGCCATGCGGATTTGCCACGTGCTAAGTTATGGGATCGTTGACCAACCACACTTTTCAAAGGAATCTCGCATCACGCCAACAACTGTAAAAAGCAGCGCTCGTTCGTACCCAAGAATAATGGAGCCTGTTAGGTTAGCTGCTGAAGCAGCCTATGATTCATGCATTCTGTCGCCTTAAAGCGTCTTGCTTTGGAATGCACTCCCGCATTCAGCAGTGGAACGCGTTAAATGGCCCTCACTACAGCGGGTTGTTGATGGAGGGAGACGGTAAAGAGAATCGTAATTCGCCGCACCGCCACGCGCGGCGATGGGCGCGGCGTTTTCATAACTCTTAACCTGTGCGGAATCGAAGCACGGACGTCACTGTCGCCCCTCATCGGGTAGGACATCATTTACTGGTTTTCAGTAATATCTTCTTGGAGAATCGGGACTCTTCAATATACTTTATTGGTTAGCTTTCGCTGTACTAACAGCTTCTTCAGACCTTAAACGTTAAATCAAGCATATCTCATACAATACACTTAACAAGCATTAAGCTAAACAGTCAACTAACCAGGACGACCATACACTTATCAAGAAGTGCGTTATCAACTGTAATACAACGTATAGGGCACACTATGAACAACACAGTAACAGCAATTGAACGCCTTACCCGGGTGGACCGCCCTATGCAACTAAAAGTCACTAAGAATGCGACAAACGTGACATTTAGTATGACGTGCTCTATCGCTGCCGCTACGTTATCAGCCTCATTGCTTCCATGAGCTCATCCCTGTTGTTTATTTCCGGGGATAGCCGCTTGATAGCGAGGGCTTCAAGCAGTTTCCTTTCTAATGGGGCTTCCTTGGAGCGGTATAGCACAGTGACGTTCAGAGAGGGTGGTGGTTCTTCTCGATGCAACAATGTGCGATGCCGTGAAAAAGCACTCCTGGGGTAAGTTGGAGGATTTCGCTAGGAGCGCTACGCACATGATTCGATACCAATCGGTTATACAGGCGGAAGCATCTTTTGTGTAATTCGCCACAATAATTTCTGACCAACATCTACCGCCATGTGACAAAATCAGGACTGTATTCGCTCTTACAACTAGAGGCGATCTTATTTTCAGTGCAGTAAGATTGATCCTTACATCAACGAACGAATTGCAAAGAAAGTGAACCATATCGTCAGTCATCTCACCTCCCAGCCAAGCTAGTGTTCCGTCCACCTGCGAATCTGAAGTTTGCTAACGTCATCGCGGAGGGATTTATGAGAGAAGTGTGTGCCGAAACTTTCAGTGCAACTGTCCTTTAACTGCACTGAAAGTAAGATCTGCATTAAGAGGAACAGGTCATTTGGTCACCATGCGGGGATGTGGGTCAGAACTATGTGGTGCGAAACCAAATAGCGCTGTATTAGGCTCGATTGACGGAACATGTGCGAGCCCTACGAAATCCTCCAACTTACCCCAGGAGTGCTTTTTCACGGCATCGCACATTGTTGCATCGAGAAGAACCACCACCCTCTCTGAACGTCACTGTGCTATACCACTGCCCCATTAGAAAGGAAACTGCTTGAAGCCCTCGCTATCAAGCGGCTATCCCCGGAAATAAACAACAGGGATGAGCTCATGGAAGCAATGAGGCTGATAACGTAGCGGCAGCGATAGAGCACGTCATACTAAATGTCACGTTTGTCGCATTCTTAGTGACTTTTAGTTGCATAGGGCGGTCCACCCGGGTAAGGCGTTCAATTGCTGTTACTGTGTTGTTCATAGTGTGCCCTATACGTTGTATTACAGTTGATAACGCACTTCTTGATAAGTGTATGGTCGTCCTGGTTAGTTGACTGTTTAGCTTAATGCTTGTTAAGTGTATTGTATGAGATATGCTTGATTTAACGTTTAAGGTCTGAAGAAGCTGTTAGTACAGCGAAAGCTAACCAATAAAGTATATTGAAGAGTCCTCAATTCTCACAAGAAGATATTACAACATATGAGGCTCAGGGATAGTTCAATTATATCGTAACTGTTTTCAGTCCTTAATTGCATGTTGTCGCCATCTACTGCCTGAAACCATCGATGGGCGGGACGTCGCACGCGACGCCCAGCAGCGCGGCAAATTACGATCCTCTTGTCACATACCCGTTGATGGAAGATAATTGTGGTAAGAGGGATTGAGTCAGTTGCTGCTATTCATAATATCTCTGCTAAACAAACCCCATGCATTTGGAATAGAGCTAGCTTAGCGCTTGTACATGATGTCGTTACTAATAAGCAGCGAGGAATGAGTTCTGTTGGAATCATTGATTCGTCTATATCTTGGAGTCATATCGCGATGGATTGTTGTTGGTGAGCGGTGAAAGGGTTTTTTCCCAACTCACGCTTGTCACTTTTAGCTACTATCACTTCCGTACCCGCCAATAACACTCCCGTCCCGTATCACTATCATATCACCCTGTATCGCCTCTCGGATCCTCCCACTGTTGCTGTAACCTGCGTTACGAATTTGATGACCTTCCCCTTCGCAAAGCCGCTATTCGTATCTTATCACACTGTTATCTACTTTCGCTGTCGCCCCGCCCAACACGTTCCCGTCCACGACCCTATACCACCTCGCCCGCCAATCACGTTCCCGTCCCACACCCTATATCACCTCTCGGATCCAAGGACCCACTGTTCCTGTGAGCCGCACTGTGAATTTGGTAGTCCTTCCCTTCTAATGCCCATTATCAGATCTTATCAGCTGATATCACATCCTGTCACCTACCAATAATGTTTTCGTCCCACCCCCTATTTCACTGCTCGGAACCAACGTCCCACTGCTGCTGTCACCGAGTTATTGAATGTGACGACCTGCCCCTGTCTAACCGCCCTTATCGTAGTCTTATCAGCTGGTATTTCATGTCACCAATCAGTTGTGTTCCCGTCCCACACTGCCTACCCGACGTCACCAGCAAACAGTGAAAGCCTATTATCACTTCTTGAAAATCAATGTCTCACTGTTACTGGGGACCGGCGTTCGATGAATTTCCGTGGATGACACAGACAAAGCGGCACCCCATACACACACTCACAGCAAACGTCGTCATGCCTTGCACTTGAAGGGGATCACGACGCATGTCGGCGAGAAGTGGTGCACATCTGCTTCTGAAGCGTTCTCAGCGCTTTTCGTTGAAAGCGCCTGTATGCGACAAAAAGTGATAAGAAAAACGAGTAACAGCGAGAGGACAATATAATACAGTAATTGTCACGCCTTTCTGGTTCAACGATTTGGTGCAGTACGGTGCTGACGACCGCCGCCGCCACGCAGCCGGCAGGCTGACATGACGTATCCAAGTGCCAAGGATGACAGACTGTACTTATCGGATTATATAGAGTAGGATAATGCGTTCAGTACGTAGGAGGTTACGTGGCATGTTGAACTTTTGTGCATGGTCCAGTTGCCTAACCAGATAGAGGACAGAGGCTGTCAGAGCTTAGGCAGCGTTCAGACTGATTTTGTCGACACGAGGGTATGCGCCGTAACGCGCTATAACGCGCGTCGACACGCGACAACGCACTGTTACGCAATTACAGCTGCAACGGCGTTCTATTTCTATAGATGCAAACGCAGCCGCAGACAGGAACTGATGGGCGCCGCTTCGCTATTGAGAAAGTTTGAAGGAACTGGTGGCTACGCGTTACCTAATCACTTAGCCTGGTATCGAACGATTCCCGTACGCGGCTGCTTTCGCGCCTATAAGGTTGGAGCGCTGTTGCGGTTGTAGTGCGTTTCAGCGCGTTGTAGCATGTCGACGCGCGTCCCATCGCATTGCAGCGCGCCGGTAGACGTGTCTGAACTCTACCTTAGAAGTGGTAAACCAAGATATGGGTTTTCCAACGGCAGGGGAAAACGTAGGCGACTTCGAGGTGGGTGAACCACTTATCATTTGTGATAAGCGGAATGAGTGAGGTCACAATGTAAGCGGGTGGGATCTGGCCTTTCTATAGTATAAGAAACACCTCAAAATAAGCATCACTAAACAGAAATGGAAATAACCATAAAAATCCATGTCTCCAGATCGTCTTTTCGGCCTTGTTCGATGCCGTTGTGACAAGCGCGTGACGCAAATCGGAGCGTCCCCAAAAATTTCACTTGAAGACGTGGAACTCTAAAAGACGCCTTTCATTTCACGAATAAGAATCTTTAAGTACTTTTCCTACTCACTTCACTTGTTTAGTGTTGCCAACTGTGAACTTTCTAGCAATTCCAAAGTCTAGCATGTAAATCATCTTCTCGTTTTCACCTAATCCTATCGCAAAATTTTGCGGTTTGATATCCCTGGAGTGATGATAATACAAGTCCCTGGGAAGACAAGGCAAGAAACATACCTGTGCAGATATCCGACATCATGCAGATCGCCTATCGATACGAGTGTTTGTAAAGCAGCTTGCATACCCGTTGACTTCGAGAAGTTTCGGCAAACCACATTCTTTCGAAGATCTTCGAGCGATTTTCCCACCAGACCCATAACGAGGAACTGCAAAGAGATCCCGATATCCAGAGACTAAGGCTGGCACGCGAGTGGCTAACCTTGAACTTTTCCGTCTTTCCGCGATCAATCAATTCAAGGAAGTGTTTTTTCTTGTCCGGATTCTCTACTAGTGTACAAAGTCCAAGAACTCGTACTTCAATTTTGAGTCGAAGCATGCGCTTATCTCCTTCACACATCTCAGTCTTCATTGCATATTCCTCAAAAGGAAGTCATCACGAGCTTCGTAGTCGTGTATTAGACTGTGTTCATACTTTCGGCAGCGTCGTCCAGCGACCAGCAGCGTCTCGAGGGCTAAGGAAGTATGGGTATCGATCTAGCGTCTGCCAGTATCTACCAGCGACTAGCAGCGTGGGGTTGGAGAGTATGAGGAAATAGGAGACTAGCAGCCTGCTGGTCGCTAGTGGAGGCTGGTAGACGCTGCTGGTTGGTAGATCGATACCCTTACTTCCCGAGCCCTCAAGACGCTGGTGGTCGCTGATGGGAGCAGACGCCGCCAGACGCTAGAGTGATATCTATAACTTCCCCGTCGCTGACGCTGCCGGACGCTCGGAACGCTGATGTACGCTATTGGTCACTGGTGGACGCTGCCGCAAAGTATGAAGACGGACCATTTCAAAATTTTTTCTGACTCAGGCACGTCTTCATCGGCAACATGTAGCCACCAAGCGGGCATTTGGATCACCCTTGAAGTGCTCTTGGAAATCGTGTTTCAGCTGGGAGACGGCCGCGAGTAGCAGAAAATTTGTGCTCGGGAGCTATATTGTGGATCCATGCCTTCCCTGACTGGTTTCGCAATCTCAATGTCACGTTTCAAGCGGTTAATCATCTGCTTCCGTAAAGCGAGCACGCCCTATCGCACTGCAGGTATGTATAATTGGTCGAGCTTTCAGTCAAGCTTTCCAGCTGATTACAAGAGCGCTTGCTGATAAGCGTTGCGCTAGGAAGAATCTTCCAGCGATGAACTCCACAGATGATCAACCACAAATTGAGAGTGCTTCATTGCTTGATTGGTAAAGATATACGAAAGATTTTGCCATGGGACTGGTCCTCATGCAGCACACTTCTCACTATTAATAAGAATGTTGTCCACACGACAGGTCCGGGAGGTGCTCAGCTCATGAGACATCCACTGGGCAAGTACTATTCCACATCTCTAGAACTATCGACGCAGTTTAACTTGTAGGGGGCATATACAGGGCTATTCCAAAAACAGAATAATAGAGAAAATATTACTAGAGGGCTGGGGACCTTCAGCCCTGTGTGTCCCCTACAAGTTAAACTGCGTCGATATTTCTAAGTAAGAAGAAACCAGTCATCTCGAATATCTTGGCATGGCGCATCCTTGTCGGTTTGCTGGCGCTGCAGCAGCTAAGGATCGGGCGCAGTGTTGAAGGTTACCACCAATTCTGATTTTTTCAGTTCAATTCGAATTCAAACCTGCTTGTCAGGATCATTCTCCTTCACAACTTTGTATACATCCCCGAAGCCACCTGATCCTAATAGCTTCAGGACTCTCCACCTAAACAAGCTGACGCTAATTCAACTGAATGGCCTTTATATGTATTGGGGCAAGTGCACATTGAAGGGACGTTCCGCGACCACCTAACAGGTGGAATCCCCTGAGGGTTGATATGGTCCTAAGCGAGAAGGTTGCCTCACTTTTGCCACTCTAAGCAAGAGACGGGGGCTATGATACCGTCGTACGAACCGTAGTCAATTAGTTGGCAGCCCTGCCCAAGGATGAACACTTTCTACCTGAGGAGGATTCTGTCTGCGGTGACGCCCTCTTTTGTTATATTAGGTTGTCGCATAAGTTCTTATACACGACTTTTTTGTAAATATCTCAAAAATGAACCAGCCTGGAGATTAGAGGTATGCACCATCACCATTCACTACTCGACGCCAGCGCTCAGGCAGCTTGTCGATTCCATCCTTCCAGAACGACGGAGGCTGGGACTTGAAGAAGCCTTTCTGACCTGATCCTTTGTTTCGAACTTTTTTCCGTCCAGATAGCGCTGCAGGTGGCTGAACAGCCAGTAGTCAGAAGAGACACCGGTCTGTAGGGAAGGGTGGGGGGCGAGCGAGAGTCCACCTATCGCGCATCTCTCCGGCATGCGGCCTGGTCGCCGTTACAGTGTGAGGTCGCGGTGCTTTGACATGTGTGGAGATTAGATTTACCGCATTCCCTTCGCTATGTCCAGTGTTGACGTCGACGGGAAGCGTCAAGGTTTCCGGGGGGTCTGGATTTAGGTTTCTGGTCACGTACATGTGGAAGTGTCAATCGTGGGTTCTGTCCACTTCTCCAGCAGCGTCCCAGTACTCATGCGCTCTTCTGGGACTACCAACAGGCAGGGGAGGAACCTTTTTGGGTGAAGGTCGGCTTTGGGCTTCTGGCTGGAAGTTCTCCTTTGTTGACGGCCGAGCTGCCGTGCTGTCGCTCACGGAGGGTATCTGGTGGTGGAGAGACGTTGGTCCACTTTGCATCCGTAATGCGATCGAGTTGAGGGAAGATGTGAGCGCGTGTGGAAAGTGAGGAGAGAAGAATGCAGGTGGTCACGCCTCCTCGAGAGGTCGATTGAACGACAGTTTCATGGTGGGACCCCATTCGCGCCAAGCCTTGCTACTTGCCGAGCTTTTCTAGTCCACGTGCAACCGTCGAATGATCATAGCTAAGCATGGTCGCCATTTCTCTGGTGGTGAGGTACGGGTCCTCCTCCACGGTGGAACGTAGTACTTCCAAATCCAACTCCAGCACGGCCGACCCGACCTCGGAGCATCTAAAAGTCTCCTTTCTTGAATTTGGCGAACCAATTCTTGCATGTCATGTAAGAGATGACGTCCTCACCGTATGTATCCACCAGCTTGGTATGGGCTTCCTTTGCATTCCAGCCGAAATCGTGGAGCAAAACCAAACAGTGGCGCAGGTACGTTTTGTCACAGTGCAAATTGTGCGACATTGTGTACTGCAAATGCAAGCTCGGTGAGTGATAGCTAGTGTAATGAAAGAGTATAATGTACACGTCACGCACACGTGATGACGTAATACCAACATCCATGCGAACGAAATAGGAGAGGATCAAACACGTGTATAAGAACTTATGCAACAACCTAATACTTTTTGTTCTGGCTCCATCACCCACCCTCACAGTGTCTCCTTGCATATTATTCCTCGTCAAGAGCCGAAAAGAAACGGGAAAATATTGTATTTGGGGGTTCCCGACTCTTTCATGTGATTCTGTTGATGGGTACTACTACCTGCAAGTTACATCTTGCTCTGACTCCTAGTCGGGGAATGTATCTTCAATTCGTTCAAAGTCCGAATGACTAAAAGATGTTCTTACGTGAAGTTGTCACTCTTGATCATATCATTCTCTTTCATCTTTTCCCTTTGTGTGACCCTCTTCTTTTTATCTCCTGGTTTCTTGTCTGCCGGCTTTTCGGCCGGTTTTTCAGCAGGCTTTTCAGCAGCATTCTCAGGGGGCTTATCGGCTGGTTTGTCGGCAGGCTTCTCATTCTGTAAATTAACACATCTAGTTGAAAAGCAACGTTGAACGAATCCTTACTTGGCTTGTTTGCCTCTGGATATGGACACTACGATTGGTGGTCTCTAATGACATGCACTCTGATGATGACAACTATTGCGTCTTGTTCCTGTTAACCCTACGACAACTCACTGCTCGGTGAAAAATCGAACTCTTCAACATATGCACAAGTTATTTAGAAGTTACAACTATGGGTTCGAGATCATTTTTTTTGCTCAACCCTCCCAGCGACTAGCGCTCATCCTGGCGCTGATGTAACATATGATATTCGGATAAGATCACTGAGTTTTTTGGTAATATTAAAAACCGAGCCTGCAGGAAGCCTAGCATTACGAACTAGACGTTTTTGATGCGTTTTTTTATATTTACACGCGAACTCCACCTAAGGATTAAACCCCAGACCCGTTGGTCTTGATTATGTGCTGTCTTCGTAGTTGTCGTTCCAGAGCTCAAAACAAATAGTGTTTGGAAAGGGCCAACTCTCATCGTAGGAGCGAGAATTGTTCCTGCACAAATTCTTACAGTAGTTACGCTGCAGTCTCGGAATTGAACAGAAAAAAACAAAACAGAACAGAAACAGAAATTGTGCACAATCATGACCAATGGATTTTTCAAGTATCCCATTAAAGCTAGGTAGCCACCATAGTGGGAAAAACTAGGACGTAAACCGTAATGGATACACAAGCTACGAAGACTCCGCAATGGACAAGCACAAGATTACCAGGACTGCCACACTTAACAGCGGGCCTAACAGACTCTGACCAAGTGGATGGACATATCGGGAAGGAGCAGACATATGAGCGCTTCCGAAATGGGCCAGCGCCAAAACGAGAGGGATCGGCGGGCTCAACCTGTACTGTGTGCAGGGGTGCGCCCATACCTTGCGGCAGCGTACGCTAGCATTTCCAGCGTTCGGCAGCGGCAGTGACAAGGAAAGGATAGATATTGATCTAGCGTTTGCCAGCAGCGGGAGCTAGAGACTATTCGAGAGTAGGAGAGCAGCGAACGGTTCGATTAGGCGTTGTGAAATTGCCTGTGCAACCGCACCGCATTAGTAGACGATACCGTACACTAAAATGGTTAAATTGCATAATGTAATGGTTGGACTGCATAATGCATAATTGTAAAGGATAAGACAAAGTGGGATCATTCAGGATTTTTTCATAAGGATGAGCATGTATGTGTCGGCCGTTTATTCGTCTAACCAACGTCCACAAGAATTACAAAAAATTCCTAAACGGAACAATTTCCAAAAGATAAGCTCTAAAAAGGATATAGTGCCTGCAAAAGATGCGGGTTTTCATAGTTCAGTTTAATTCCGGTGCGACAATGTAATGTACATTCCGTTCCAACAGCCAAACAACAGAGTTATGCAATTTGACCATTTTAGTGTACGGTATTGTCTACTAATGGGGCACGATTGCACATGCTGCAATTTCACGAGGCCTGATCGAGCCGTTCGTTACTCTCCTACTCTCCCATACTCTCTAGTCCGCGCCGCTGGCAAACGCTAGTGAAACGCTGGCAATCGCTGGCGAAACGCTGGCAAAGGCTAGGTCGATACCTATACATTCCTTGCCCTCGCTACGCTAGCGCACGCTGGTGACGCTAGCAAACGCTAGATCGATATCTATCCTTTCCTTGTCACTGCCGCTGCCGAACGCTGGAAACGCTAGGGTACGCTAGCGTACGCTGCCGCCAGGTATGAACGCAGCTAACGGAGATCGATCTAAGACGGTGTCGCGATTGCCGTGTCACAGAAGGGACACGCAATTCAAGATATGGAAGCGAATAACCGACCAACCCAACACACGAAATTACCATGATGTTTGGCAAAATAGCAACCCATCTATGCGCTGCAAGGAAGCCTGCCCAGTGCCGATCTGTACATCATGGGTGTTTTCAGTGGACACATAGAAGAAAGCAACCACCAGTTAAAAGAATTCAAGAAGATTCGCTCACGGCACAAGGAATGAAGATGGCTTACGCCTACTGGAGCTAGCAAAGCCACTGAATCTGATCACAACCAACTCCTTCTTGCAAAAGAGAGAATCGCCACATTGTCACGTACTACAGTGGGGGCGTAAGACTCAGATCGACTACATTTTGACGCGGAGGAGCCAACGAAGCAACGTGCTAGACTGCAAGGTGATCCCATCGGTAACGGTCAACAGTCAACATCGTCCAGTCATTGCGACCATCACGATGCCGGCCAAATCATCTGCCTTCAAGCAGAAGAGAGTCAGCAGAAAGATGTTGTTGAGATGGAAGAGAATTGCTGAGCTAGGACCAACTGTCTAGGACCTATAATTGATGAAGATCCGCCAGGCCACGTCCGAAGTTACTGAAAAGGACAGGAGGAGATTCGTCCGGAAATCCGAGATAACGCACAGACCGTTGGCTCGAAGAAGGAATTCAAGCGTGCAGAGAGCGAAGTGCTTGGTTCTGAAACGAAGATGTGTCAGTAGCGGTCATGGCAGAGAAGGACGCGTACAAAGTTCGGCACAACCCTAGAATGACGGTAGGTACTGCGAAACCAGGCGAGAAGCTAAGCGGACCATCGCTATTGCTATCAAGAGCAGACTGAAGCTCTTGTCGCCGACCTGAATACCAAAGGAAGAGGGAAGCAAATCTATCGCCTTGCCAGAGCAGAACAGGACTTTATGAGTACCACACGTTCATTAAAGCTAGCAATGTAATGCTCGTGTATGACGACAGGATCAGGAAGCGCTGGCAAGAGCACTACCAGGATACCTGCATCGTCGAGTTTCCGCATCCGGCACTTTTAATGAACCACCAACTCAAGGGCCTCTCATCCAACGTATCACCGGGGATGAAGTCGAAGCTGTCATCAAGAAGATGAGGACGGGAAGGCTACCGATCCAGATGACATTCCCGTCGAAGTAAGTAATACTTCGGAAACCTAACACACTTTTCGACCAATGCTTGGAAAATGGAGTGGTCCCGACGGGCTGGTCAAAGAGTGTCTGTGATTTATAAAAATATTCGCCTAATGTGACACACTCTGAAAGTTTTGGATGTCAGGCTCAGGGTTGTAGTTAATATCAGTGCGATGTAGTGCGGATTTCGACCTGAACACGGACCACAGGCGCCATTCACGTTATTCGCCGTGTGATGGAAAAGGCCAGTGGATGGAATAAGCCATTTCATTTCGCTTCTGTGGATCTAGAGAAAGCTTCGATTTATTGCCACATTGACTTATTCGGGAAGGTTTTCGGCACCAACAAGTTCATGAAGCATTCCTTAAGGCAGTTTAACTGATCTACTTGAACTCTGAAACCTCCGTCCGGAAACCTGTTGAAAACACTCCACAGTTCACGGTTGCTGTCGGAGTTCATCAGGGATCGGCTCTTCTGCCACTGTTTTCAGACTGTGCATGGACTACGACGAACATTCGGAAAGAGCCTCCGTTGATGCTGGGATATGCTGACGGGGTACTGCTGATGGACTGATCCAAAGGGAATTTAGATCGGCGCGTCAACCGCTGGAAGAGAGAGTTACCCAACCATGGATTCAGGCTTAACATTAGCAAGAGGAGTACATGTGCACACCACTGCAACTACTTCGTCAGTCGTAGTTGACGGGACACCGCTCTCCACAGCAATACAGTTCCCGTATCTCGGATCTACAGAGGCTGCGGATGGAGATTCCAATTCCTGCACAACTGTATGGATGCTGCATGGGACATGCTTGATGTCAAAGATCTATACTTCACTCGTGAAGCTAGTCGCCATCCACGGAGCAGGTGACTGCCGAGGAACCAAGAGCCTATGGTATATGGAGATGAGAATGTTACTATAGAGCGCGGGACGTACAGGACTCGACCGGGTCCGAAAAGAAACCGTCGACAAAGTGAAGGTCCACTTAATGGCCAACAGCTTTGCCGGATCTCGTCTTCCCTGCTACAGTCACGTCCAGCGAAGACCTGATGCTGTATTCGAGTCAGCTGATAGATCACCTTTGGCGGTAAACGTCTAAAGGCCGACCTAGAATGCGGAGGAAAGACGACCTCTGCCCCTGCAGATGCAATTTACAGGGACCGTTGGAAAGCGTTGGTCAAAGAAGCGTCCCCGAAGGCCAAGAATACGGAAATGGACGCCCTGTACGAGAAGCTGGAGAGCCGAGAAGGGGACAAGTTCGTCTTCCGCCTGGCTAAAGCTCGGCATCGCGCGGCTCAGGACATCAGGGTCGTAAAGACTGTGAAGAGCTTTAAGCTGTTATTGTGGTCAAAAGTGGCCTCGGTAGCGTAATAGGGAACGCAACTGCCCGGTAAGCAGAAGATGCGGGTTCGAATCCCGTCCGTGGTCCGACTTTTGCCCATAACTCAGCATTCTTGTGATAACTGTGAAGAGCAGCAACGGGGCCATTCTCAGGAAACCAGCCGAAGTCAGAAAGAGGTGGGAAGAATACTTCGAGGGACTACTGAACGAAGAATTCCCCCGCAAGGATAGCCCACAGATAGAGGCGACGGCAGGCCCCATCACTCCCTGGACGAGGATGAAGTCCGCCGTGAGCTAGGGAGAATGAAAGTTGGGAAAGCAGTGGGTCCAGACGGGGTACCGATAGAGGCATGGAAGGCCCTGGGAGAGCTTGGGGTGAGTTGGCTAACAGACTTCCTAAACAATGTAACGGCTGGAAGGATTCCAGATGCGTGGAAGAGCAGCCACAATCCGTCCCCATCTTCACAGAAAGGGGACGGCGACGAATGCTGCCAACTTACCGCGGCATTCACGTTGACTCCCGGCATACGGTGAAGCTGTACGAGAGCCCGTGGGAAAACACTAGGGCTGAGGGAATTTGCTTCTCGAAGGAACGTTTCGGCTTCATGCCCGAAAGGTCTACCACTTATACATCTTCAGACAGCTGACGGATAAGTGCCCAGAGAAGCGGTGACCCTGCGCCTTCCTGGACCTTGAGAAGGCATTCGACTGCCTGCCTCGCTGTACGATGGCTAAATCAGACTGTAGCATCCCACACGGTTGACGAAGGAGATAACTATCACTGTTGGTACACGGAATCAGCCCTCACTCCGTTCCTCTTCCTCCTGACTCTAGATGTCATGGCAAAAGAACTCATGGAGGAACCATTGAAAACCATCCCAGAACAAGGTGCAGCGGTGGCAGGATGTACTCGCTGAGAATGGACTCCAGCTGGACGTAAAGAATACCAAATTCATGAGCTCCGAAGAGTGTAACGGAACCCATCGTAGAGTGCATGGCGAGACTTCCGGTACCTAGGGAGCGGCTGATGCCATCAGCAGCCTAGCAGCTGATAGCACCGTTTGACCAGGCGGTGAAGGCCCGAATCAACGCAGCCTGGATGAAAGGATGGAGTCCACTGGCCTCCTGTACGACCGGTGGTGCTCGAGAACGCTCAAGGGCAAGGTGATACCGCGCGGTGGTGAGGCCTACAATGCACTACGGCAGTGAGTGCTGGCAGACGGTCACACAGACGGCTGCGATCCAGCTGAAGGCACGAGAGCGACTGCGATGGTATGGACACGTACTGAGAAGGCCTGAGGATCACCCAGTAAGGACCGCATTGGAATTCGAAGCAGAGGGCAAGCGACCACGAGGAGCCCCAAAGAAAAGATGGAGGGACGTCATCAAGAAGGACCTCACTGAAGTGAAAGCCACGGCAGAAGATGCAGTGGATCGGAACAAGTGGCGACGTCTAACAAGATCAGCGGACCCTGCGACGGCGCGGGACTAACGCTAGGGAGAAGAAGAAGAGGTGCAAGTCCCCGTACTTGACTGTAACCGTAAAAGTGTGATGACTATCATTTCTCTAGCGGTATGTTGTTAAATGCGGATGCTGGGGTGTTCCAAAGGGATGCACTGGTGCGGCATCGGCCAGAAACTTTGGCTGCCGCTACGCCAAACCCAGACTCTGACACGACCCCGTGCCCGCAGCGAAACAGGACCGTTCTCAGTATGAATACGGGGACGCTTTCGTGTGCAATAAGTTCATTAGCCCTCAGGACCGGCTCTCCAACATTCCTTATCTGAACTAATGGATTTTTCCTGCGACGTTAAGTGTAAGGTCTATTTTACACATCACTGTCCAAACGAGACTGTTAGGAAGGACGTACTAAAATCCTGCAAGGAAATGTTTCCAAGGCACGTCGGGGCATGGTATACGACCCCTCTGATTGTGAGTAGGAATTCCTTTGCTAAGTGCTCTACATTATCTTAACTCTGAGGATCTGATGTACTGCACCGCCCTAGCTCCAGAGTACACTACCTTTGCAAAGGAGACAAGGTTTTCGGGACTTTTCTCTATCATAATCCTGCCATTGCACTACCCTGCTATGTGCTCATATCTTTGAAACCCTCGTTATACTGATGTTCTATCGTCTCTCCGAAGCAGTCACACCGGTTTTCTTCCCGTTGCAGCCGCAATATTATCTTTTTCCTGGGTAACTGAGAACACATCATATGTTATCACAGTAATCACATCACGCTAGACTGAGGACCGCAACAGTTACTGGTTTAAGTTCAGAGCGGTCATTCCATCCTATCGCTTGCCCTGAGGCATTTTGTGAACAGGTGAGAGGGGGGAAGGAGCATGCTGCGGAAAGCAGCGTTTAGACTTTGCGATGACGGGCGTCGCACGCTGTAACGAGCAATCGCCCAGAAAGCGTAAAGTGCGGCTCTGAGTCCAATCTGCGGTTTGGCTTTTGCTCATAACTTATCATTCTGTTTATGAGCTTTGAAAAGCAAACTACGTCGTTGAGCAGCAAATATCATAATCAGGTATGTAGCTGTTCAATCTAATGAAATCTAAGTCGCGACAGCTCAACTCCCCATGAAAGAACGTAACTGAAAACATGAGCGAATCGCCTGGTTTCTTCTTTTTTTCAATAAAGTAATGACAAGGAGAGCGATCTGCGAAGCGTATCGGCCTGTTGGCCAAGCATACCGTACTTGCACATTTGTCACGGCGGCGACGCCGTGTTGATCCCAATACACGGACAATTGAACACAATCATTTTACTGCCATTCATCTTTGTTTTTCTCTGCACTTCTCCCCAGCATGACATTCTGTGATCACTGTGACCTTACACATCGAATTTTCCACGCCTCTCAAATGTCATCCACACCGGAGTCCTCCCCCTGAAAAAGCTTATCCCCTGAAAAAACTATGTTTTCCGCATTCTTGAAAGCCTTGGCAGCCGCAATCCTTCATTGCTCTGCGCGGGATCTGGACCGTTCAGTGTAGCGTGAACATTATAATAGTTTAAAAGCAAGGAAATGTTATGCTCACCTTGTCTGGAGGCGGTTTTGATGCATTTGCTGGAGCTGCTTGTGAAGGTGTGGGTGCAGGTGCCGGTGCTGAAGGAGTGGATGTGCCAGGAGCACTTGCAGCCGGAGTTGGAGTGGAGCTAGCCTTTGATCGAGTAGCAGCCGGAGGAGCACCTGCAGCTGGAGGAGCACTTGCAGGTGGAGGAGGAGTAGGAGCAGCCGACTTCATGGAATGACGAGTAATGAGAAACACCTCTCATGAAACAGACACTGGGCTAGCTTCACTCCCACTCCTTCTAGTAAACAAGACTATGATTACCATGTGATAAGGACACATTGTGAAAAAATACCACGCAAAACGTCTTATAGCGTAGTTCGCTGCGGACGGTTGGGCGTGTCATGCGGGATGAGTTTGGCGTGGCGCTAAACCCTTTCTCCACCAGTTATTGAAGGCTAATGATGTGACTGTATCATATCGTTCGTATTACTCGTTTTCTACCACTTTTTGTCGCATGCGCGCTTCAACAAGAAGGCAGAGAACGGCTTTGACGGCGTGACACACTCATACTGCCTGACACGCCCAACCGTCCGCAGCGAAATAGAGTGTATGGTTGTGGGACTACTACTCATCAGATCAGGTTGTTGGTCTTTGTCAAAAGAAAGACAATGGCAGTCACAACTTTCGGGTATGTGAACCAGATATACAAGGGGTGCCAAACAAAAGTAACTTTGACCAAGTCACATATCAGCAAAGTTTTCGC